CCCACTACTCCCTCCGGGCCCCCCTGCCGCCCGCCGGTGGGGGGCGCAAAGCCCCCACAGAACTCCAGGGCTCGAGGCCTCCTTGTCACGCCCGGGGAAGCCGCAGCCACCCCAGTCCAGTCCCAGTCACTGTCACCCTCACCATCCTGCACTCCAAGACCCCTGCTGCCCTGTGCTCCACTGCCCCAGCTGATCTTCACAGTCTTCTTGCTCCAAAAAGCCATTTTGCAAAAAGCTCCTGGGCGGGGTTTGGCCGGGCTTTTGCTTCGCACTGTGAAAAAAAAAAGCCAAAAGCCCAATCCAGCCCCACTGGGAAGGCTAAGTCTACCCAGCGGCCAAAGGCAGGACTGGTCTACCCACCTTCCCAAGAAGAAGGACTAATCTACCCACAGAGAATGGAACGGAGAGGGTCAAAGGGGGCCACGAGGGCCCAGTCTACCCACCTATCATGGCCAGAGGACCATTTCCTGAGAGCAGGCTGGTCTACCCACAACGGAAGAAGAAAAAAGAGGAGAGGAGGGAAGAAGGGGTGTTCCCCCCCCCCCCCCAAGCGAAGCAAAAGCCCAGCCCTGCCCAAGAGCTTTTTGCAAAGGGGGTTTTTGCAAAGGGGCTTTTTGGAGCAGAAGATGGGGAAGGTCAGCTGGAGAGGCGGAGCGCAGGATGGAGGGGGCCAAGAGGGCAGAGAAGGGTGGGAGATAAGCAGGTGGGGAGAGCTGAAGCACTGCTGCAGTTGTAAATGTAGTCAGGCAGTCAAGCATCTGAATTTTGATCACATGACCATGGGGGGGCGCTGCAATGGCCATAATTTCAAGCACCAGTCGTAAGTCACTTTTTTCAGCACATTCATAACTTTGAATGGTCGCTGAAAAAGTGGTCATTAAGCAAGGACTACCTGTATGAGTAAATTGAATGCCCAGATTTGCAAGAATTATTGTTCCCTTACCAGATCATGCCTTCAAACAGATTTTGGATGACAAGATGAGACTGAGTTACAATGATCAGCAAAGTGACATGAGTCCATGCGAACTGGTAATAGTGTAATAACACAACAGTTAGTTAAAAAAGCAAAAAACCTTACAAGACAATTATGAGAACAGACTTCTATTACAATATTTATATTTTCCACTGGGTAATTAAAAGATGTAAATATTAACTTAATGTGAATGGCATATAAAGAAAATCATAATGACCAGTCTGTGTACAGATGGATACACAATCTGGAATTGGAACATTAAAATGTTAATGATATAATTATAGTGAAATCATGCTATGTAACTCTGAAAAATCATCAAAATCATAAGTAGGTTCTACAAGTTATTGACTAACTCTTAAAATGTGATCTACACAGACACTAAACAAAAAGTCCTTTCTTATCAATAAATTCAATGTGCTGCCCCTAATAATGCTTGTATAATGAAATAACAATTTCTATATCTAATACCTGATCAACTAACAAACATAAAGGATTTAGACTAGTTTCCACTTGCATTCTGCCAACTACTTAGCTATATGTGATGATCCAGTGAGAATATTTAAAAAGTATGTGTTCCCCAATATAAGCAGATGACCTTCAATTTCTGTTTCTAGGAAATTTTCAAACTCCTAGATTAACTTGTAATGGCCATCAAATTAAAAGTCATAAAAGTCATAATAGCGCTAAACAGGTTTAGACTAGACATTACAATATTAAACAAACATTTAAGGTTTTCTTATGTCTTTACTGCCTGAGACAGTTGCAAACAAATCTCAATTTTGCTAAAACCTATGGTTGCAAATAAATGTATATACAACAAATCTTCACCTGCCCTACAAAGCAGTGCTATGAGAAAATATTCCAAGACAACTCTGGAATTAATATACAACCACAGAATGATGCAAAAAAAGACTGACAACTTCATATTTAAATTTTCAGTCTGAACATATTTAGAATACTGTTAATTATGCTGACTGAAGATTATAGAAAACAGGAATCTTTCTCTGAACTGAAAACATTGTAATAATGTTAGAATTATTGTATAATCAATGTTAGAATAATCTTCCTATTTTAAGAATCTGTGATTATTCACTACTAAAGGTATCCCTACCACACTCAAATTAAATATTGCATTAATAACGTAAGGTGAATAATTTTGACCTGTGTTCATGAGACTTTAAAATCTATTTTATGAACATTTCTATTCCAAAAAAAAATGTTTTAAAGTATTGATTATTTTGAGAACAATTAAGCTGCCCAAGGATTGATACATACCATGTAAAACTGTAACCGATAATGCCTCTTCACCAAACTCAACACAAACATACAAAATCCTATACAAAGAAAGGAAAACAGGTGTATGTTTTGCAGCACTGTTCTCATTATACTGAATAAATTGTATCAAGCTCTTCAGTAAAAGACTGTTCCATTATTAGTTCAATAATAATTTGTACTGATAGAAACCACATTGCTGTCTACAAATATTTTAAATAAATAAATGCATGCAACACTGTGTTATTTCCATCATGACACACAAGAAATATGTACTTGTGCCATTTCTATCATGATGCATGTGATGTCACTTGCTACCACCCGTCCCTTCTCCCTTCAGACATCCACTAGGTCAGTTTATACACTACATGGTTTAAGGTAAACAGTATGATTTGCAGCATGGAAACTGTGAGCAAAGATCCTATTTCTCAAGTATTGTTACTTAATTTATATCTGCAAGTATAACTATTCTATTCTGATTCAAGAAATTATTTAAAACACAGTGGCATATCAAGTTGATGAATAATTCAAATAGCATCTGAAAAAACTGGACTGTTTGTGCCAAATATATTTTTTTAAAATAGAAGTCCTAGCCATTTGTTTAGCTTTGAAGAAAATGATTTTTAAAAATCCAATATTTCTAGATTGTCATTCAGCTTAAGCAGTGAGTCAGTTAATGAATGAACTCCGACAAACTGAAATTGTAACCTCAGCCCTTATTAAAAATGTAAATTCAATGTAGTATTCATCCTTTCTTATCTATTAATAAATCTTTGCAAATTAACATACACCTTGAACTCCAAGCAGGTTTGGAAGGCAAAGGCACATGAAAGGCGAAGTTCTATCATATGTAATCTACCATCAAAAAACCCCTAGAATCTCTGAATCTACTAATCTACATTACATTTATAAGGCAAGAATGCATATTCTAGATTTTTGAAAATATGTAACATAAATCTGCCTGTTATGTGATCCAGAGAATTTATTCTTGCTTGAGAACGTAAATGTCTTATACTGTAGAATGACACTAAAATCAATTTAGTCAAGTATTCTTGGAAAGAATGCCAGCAAAAAAGTTCTAGAAGCACACCTGGACATTTTCCTGCAGCCTACTAACAGACTGCAAGCAAGTAATGTTAACCTATATTGGATGTATCATGCATCAGATGCTGGCTTTAACAATGCATGGTCAACATTCGCTACAAGAATTTTACTTCAGTTCAAATTAGTATGATGAGAAATGTCTTCCTGCTCTTGCTACTTAAACACAGCATGAAATTAAACAGAGGGGAACCTGAAGAGACCTCACAGAGAGTTATCCTGACAAGTTACTCTGAGAGTTTTATTCTTCAAGAACCATATAAAATATGTAACAGAAGTAAGTTAGAATTACTTCTATTACTACTACAATGTTGCTGCTAAATAAATGTTCTCAGGACTGAACCAAGATTGCTATAGTCTTTTCTGATCCACGCTCCAATATCAGAACTAACCTATAGTGTAAACATTAACAACAGATGACAGAAAGAGTATCAAAATGATTTGAGTAAGTCTACAATATTCACTGTAACTTTTGAATGTATATTTTACATACTGCTCATTTTAACTTCATAGGCTATGGAGCTATGCCAAGCATTCAAAGTGTGTTTCACAAAACACGTTGGTACAAAGTATATCTCCTCAAGGCACTGAGAAACTCACATTCTCCAGAAAGTTTTGTGCAAAAGTTCTTCCAAATACTCTGCGTGTATTGACAAAATTCTGCTGGATTGCCAACAAAACAAAATTGCTTACATGCACATGCATGCAGAAATGACCTGGGAAAACCCCAATGCAACTGCACTGAGCCTTTGTTTATGTCAACTCATTTTGCAACACATTGCTATGAATGCCCTCCATCCCCCTAATAAATTTATTAAGGCCATACATAAGGACCATTTTTTGTATTTTAAAGAGAAGAACACCAGAAATAGAAAGGTTCAGCAGGCTGCACAGAAAAACAAAATACAATGACTACTGACAAGCTTTACTGTTACCTGCCAGATAAAGTGTAAAAGATATAAATCGGTGGTAGCGAATTAGGAATTGAAGTTGTTCTCGTCTCTGAACAAAAGTGGCAAAGTAATCTGCTACTGTCTCACCATAAAAGAAATAGTTCACGCACAACAAGAAATACCTGCAATGTACATTATAGGTAAATTACTTTGTGAGAAATTTAAAAAGTGCTACAAAGTTACAAAGTTTATTAATTTTATTTTATTTTAGTTTCATAGCATTACATCTCTGAATTTAAAATGATAGAATCAAAACATTCACTCCATTTAATCCAGAAAAATATCAACATTCTGATACTTAAAAACAAACTGTACAACTCATGGAGGCTTGTCCAAAATAGAGAAATTTTGCCCTGAGGAAGAATACAATTATTTAAATTTGTGTTATTTCTTTGATCAATATCTATAATTGGAAAATTTTAATACAGTTAAGTTGATTTAATCCCACTGTTGAGGGATCTCGATAGAGTTCAGTTTAAATGTATTTAGAATGGAAGCACCACAAACCCAGTGCTTGGAAGCAGAATCATGAAATCCTAGGTTGGTACTTTTATTAGAAAGTAACAATGATAAAATGGAATATAGGAAGTCTGGAATGAGAGCTAAAATAAAAAAAATCCACTCGTTACTTACCAGCTTAATGTTCTAAACCAAGGTAGGTCATAAGATCGATAAACTCTGTAACCTATAGTGATGATTTCATGAAAGCACTTCACTTGTATTGTTAAGACCTGAAATAACGGGAAAGGATCACAGAAGTTCTAATTCAGAGTTTTCTAGAAGCATGAGAAGTATTAAAAGATAACATATTCATATGCTATCATGCCTAGAGTTTAGACAACCTGACAGTTTGTCTTAACTGAATGATACTGTTTTGTCACTGTGCTGTTGTAAATAGAGATACATATTATTCCAACAAAACCTCAGGAATTCTGAAAATTCCCCATTCATTGAAACAGCTCAAGGCACCTCACATTGTGCATGAACATCTTCATTCATTGCTGATATAATTAAGGAAGTGTGAGCAATCAATCCTTAGATTATGACTTTCACAGTTCCACCTAGAATTACATGAAATGTTGAAGTATAAAACTTACAAGCAGCATCAGCATAAATGATCCCATGTATATAATGAGGGAGAAAGCTGAAATCATTACTAAAGTTAAAATTCCACGAATCCACCAGTTCTTCCATCTGGAAAAGGCAAAATACACAAGTTGCTTTTACAAACTCTTATAACTAGACAAAATGTTCAGATTAATCAGTAACATTATGAACAATGAAAATTGTTGAATACAGATATTTCTTAAAAATAAATTCAATTTTCACATGAGAAAACCATACTGACAATATAATCTATCAGAAATAGGTCTACTTGTATTCAGTGATCTTACTTCTAAGTAAATCTCCACAGGATTCAGGTCATGGTTCTGTTAGTAAGATACCCATGCGAAGTATACAATAAAAATACACTGCACTAGAAATTTTTAACTGAATCAATATCTGTATGTAAAAGAATAGTTTGAACTTCATTAAAATGCCCACTTCCATTTACAGTAAATGGTTGCTGAAAACCCTTCTAAGCAACTTACTCAAAACTAAACTTTAACTTGCATACAGTCTGTTACAAATATTAAGTTTACAGTAATACCAGTCCAGGTGCATTTGTCCCTGATACCTGGAAGATAAGCCAGAAAGAGCCTTTTTAAAAATTTCTGGAGTGCTGTCTGTTGCTGGGACAACTTCAGGAACTTCTGAATCATTTCTGAGATCCAGTTCTCCAAATTTTTCATCTCCATCTATATCCTAAAACAGAAAGCACAAGATGGAAACACAATATTTAGGAATCCAAGCATAAACATATGAGAATTTTAATTAAACAATCAAAATAAAACTACAAGTATACTCCAACATAGATGCTTTACCCAAAAATACATAAAGGATGCAGTTAGCTCTCCAAACTATTTAAAAATGTGTCTGAGTTATACAGTACTGTTTTTTTTCATTTGCAGACTGACTATAGCAGTTGCTTTGGTTAGCAGTTTCAATATAAAATTTTCACAGCTCACAGACTTAAGCTTTCTGGAACCTGGGATTTTGTATATACATCCTTGACCCCATCAACATATAGTTCTGTAAGCATTACTGTGGGAGTCAATAAAATGATAAAACTGTAGAGACGGAAATAACATGTGCCATTTTACTACTATAAGGATAGTAAGAAAAGCCTATGTATATCTAGTTGGGCAACTGTAAAATATTCTCTAAGGCCTGTGTTTAGGACTTCGCACATCTATTCTAGTTTCCAAATGCACAAATGCTTCTTTCAATAAAGCAGTTGAAAGAAGCCCATAACAGTGAGCTTTAGGTTGCAACTATAGCAATTCGTAAGTTCTAACAAACAACTATTACCCTTTTATTTATTTCTTCATTCAGTGATATTTCTAAGATGCCCTACTCCTAATGGACTGTGGGCAGTGAAAAATAAAATAACAACACCAATATAATTAAAACAAACAATTAATACAGTAAAAATCCTATTGAAAAGAACCAAACCTAACTTTTGTAAACAGCCAGGAGTTATTTCAAACTGGACCACATAAAAACATGTATAATAAATAAACAGGGTTATTTCTGGATGCAAATAGACTCCGTTGTTCTATCTTGTTATCTTCTTTCTCTTTCTTATGACATGAATAAGTCTGATCTTATTCATATGTTATTAAATATTATTTAAAGTGGATGTCCCATTAATGGGAAACCAGTGCTGAAACACAAAGTATAAAATAAGATGCTAAAAATATTAAATAACATTAAAAGCAAAGTTGTCTTAGAAATGATTCTTCTGAATCACAAAAAAATGTTGTTTGGGTTTAAAAAAAAATGCAAAGGATATCTGCAGTTCCTTATTATTTATTTCTTGGACTTCAAGGTTGCCTGATTCCAAAGGACTCTGGGTAGCATACAATTTTTTTAAAAATACACAACAGTAAAAAGGGAACATATCACGTGAATTATTCCCCACCCCCCAAGAAGAATTAGAGATGGAAAAAAAAGTAGCCTAGACTCCTTGACACTGATACATTTTACATTTACCGGTACCTAAGAATGTAAGAAGGATTTTGATTCCCAACTCCTTCCTTTTTCATTCCTTTAGTATGAAGGTTATCTGAAAAAATTACTACTAGACAGAATTTTCAGAATATTTAGGTAGGCTATCATACTATAAGGGTTAGGGTTAGGAAAATTAATTTCACTCAGCATACACTCTGGCTCTTAGGAGCAACAATCAGAGCACATTATTATAATCCTCTTGCATTCTAGCAATTGTTACTACAAACACCCTGAAAAGGGGAAACTCAAAGGCAAGTTTTCCCCAAGTCTTATATTTTCAATTAGACAAATCACTATAGTCATATACAGGAAACAAAAGTAGCTTATTCTTAATAGACAAGATTTATCACACATTTTCAAAAAGAATTGTCAACTAAGATTTACAGAAAACTTAGCATAAAAATGAAATAAAGATAAAAATAAAAATACTTTAACATTTTAAAAACATTTTGTAAATGATTGTATATTTGTAACCACTATTGCATCAAAGCTTATAGGATTAATATGAATAATACTATGAACAGCATTTGAGAAATAGTTAATGAGCAGGATAAATGGAGGTAGGAAATCTGAATGTTGTCTTACTACTGCATAGCAGCCACGGAAGAATCACCAGATGTGTATCACTGAAAAGGATGTCTGATTAGATGCACTGCACTAGTAGTTTCCTTGCATTAAAGAGATGCAATGAACTCATCAGTGTCACTTTCCAGCAAAAGGAGTATAGTTGTGGACATCTTAGAGGAGACAGAAAGGTAACCACGGAAGTGGGTAAACAAGGATCATGTACATCCTTTCATTTTTGCTGACTGACATTATGGGAGCATTTCATTCCCTTGATTTCACTGTCCCAGTCTCATTAGTATATTTATTCAAAATAAGGGTTGGTCAGAGCACCAGTTGAAACAACAGTATTAAGTTATAACAACAGAAAACCATGAAATCTTAAACAATTGGTGGCATACATAATTGAATCCAACTAATAAGTCATGTTCTTTTAAAGTTGCCGAAGATTAACACTGATTCATTCTAGCAGAAAATAATACACTACATCTGTTCACTGAAGTAGAGTGGGTTGGACTTTTATGCAGGTGGATTAAAGTAAAATCTAGATTTGCAGACAAACATGATACCAGCACAGAGGGCCTTTCCCCATTATTGAATTAGCATCATCCACTTATCCTTCAGACGGCAATAAACTATAGCAACATGAAATTTGCTCTTTCCACTGTCAATCCCTATCCTGTCTCGATTATCTCTGCTCCCTTGTAGCTGAATGCTACTGTCCTGTTTATGCATCTGGAGCATTAAGCAAAGCTATTAATTTACCTCTCTGACTTTGCTGTCCTTCCCCCTTTTGAACATTCCCAGAGGAAAACATCCACCAATCATGACAGTAATGGAATGGGATGATTTAGCATCTGAAGTTTGATATCTGAGCTTCTGAACCCTTTCTCTTGACTAATAAAAGCTAAGCACTGAAAATGACTGGGATCATAAAAGAAGCTGAATCACATACGCAAAATCATAGTCCTATGAATGTGCAAAGCACAAAAAAGCTGATTTCCTCTAATTCCAGGATCAAGCTAGGCTATTTTACTATCATTTCAGTGTTGTGCAATTTCAACATTGTCCAAAGCTTCTTCCATCTCTAGAAACATGCCTGAGTGCAAAGTAAAGCAGGAGAGCATGGCTCTATACTTATGCACAAATCTACAAGTTTGCTTTACAGACTGATAACCTGACTGTGTAAAACAAAAGTGTTTTACAGAAGCAAAAATTTCCACTGCTGCTTTTTTCTATCCCCTCTATATCGAAAACGCAAACAATGGCACAAAGTTGGTTGCCTGGGACCAAAGGGATGGGAGAATATCAGCCTCAAACCACCAAGACTTATCCAACTCACCTGCTACAATCGCTTGAATTCACCTCCAATGAAATGGGTTGAAAAGTGCATCAGATTTTACACAACTTGCAAATGCCACTGGTCACTATCAATTTATGGGGGAAAACATTACTTTATTACAAGCTAAGACAACTTAAGCCTGTCTGACTCTGGGGCCGTGGACAAGATGAAGGAGAATAACAAAGACCTTGCAAAGGTACCATAGTTAGATGCAAGTGTGAAAAGTTCTTATACCTACAGTATCTCAAACACAAGTGTACTAGAGTTTCTCAAACATCTCCACTCCACAAATCAGCACCACAATCCAAACTGAAGAGCCATTCTTAAAGGTTGGGAGAACATGCAGGGCAACCTTTAAGGGGGGATTTAACTGGAAGAAATGTAAAGGTCTCTATAGATCTCACCTAATTCACAGTAGATGGCAAAATTAAATAAAATCTAGCTTATTTATCTAGACCAGGCCGCTTTATGAAAGTTCATCAGTGGAAATGATTTTAAAATAAATATGGCAAGGCTCTGGATGCATGATACAATCCATTCTATAGTTTTACATGTATTTGCACCAACAAGCCTACTTCAGTAGCTAAATGAGACTTTGGAAGCTTGTTACCACAACTTTACCATAAACATCTCTGATTTGACAACCTGACTAAAGAAATATTTGTGATGTGTACTAGATTACACTTTCAGAAGGTCATGGTCCAAGAGGCTTTGTCAGCAACAACAGTTGAAGAATAGTTGAAATAGGGGAGATCTGATTATACATCCATTTAAAAATTTAATATATGCAATAAAATTTAACACATCAGGGAGAACAGTAGACTAGCCCTTCTCAGTTATAACTAAGTGCAGCAATTTAAAATATATTTAAAATATTTATATACTAACCTATGACTAGACAGTAGACTACTAAGGAAGCGTAAAGAAGGTAGCAAATCATTAATGTTAGATTTTATTATGGGACAGTAGTGGTGGCATAGAGACAAAGCTATCCACTCCCCAGTGCTAAGGTTCAGAATGATGCTTGTGTCATTTCAATGGCTATAGAGGAACACAGCACTATGAATACTGAACCATTTGCATTTTACCTCAAACCAGAAGTGAAACAATTCAAAGGCTTAACTGTACTTAGTGTTGGTAAGAAACAGACTTGTTTGTTGGACTCTGTATCTTACCTCAAAATCCTTTTGACCACCAAAACTTGAATGTAGAAAGCCATCCTGAAGTTAGAAAATTTAAATGCAGATGCCCTGTTTCCTAAGATGCATCTAGCAAGCTATGATCATTGAATACATTGACAATAACAATAGAAATTCTATCAAATAATTAGTGGAAAACAGCATATCAATAAATTTAAAAATTCTAGTTCATATTAAAAGCAGCATAGGATCTCTCCATCCTCCATTACTTGTTATTCCTAGTAGTAATCAAATTGCCAAAGAATAATGGATTCATCTATTTCATTTCTAATCCCAATTATATTAGAAGAATGCTGCAATTTGGTATATATACTACTTAAATATATTTAAAATCTTACCATTATACTGTAACTATAATTTAATTGATGCAGCTACTTTATTTTATATAATTCTAGTTTTATTTTTTTTTCTTTTTAGACAAAAGAACTATACATAATTGTGAGAGCTTATGGTGCTCTTTTTAAAAACATGTCTATTCAAATGTAAGGAATGGACTTAGATAATATGCCCATCCTCTCAAATAGTCACAAAATTCCGTGCAAAATGTTCTCAAGTGTTTTAAAATCACTTTAAGACTCTTAAAATATTATGTTTCCAGTCATGTTAGACCTTGAACTGTGTGCCTGTAACACAGAATATGTGTAAACTGATATATGGGAAGTACAGCAAATGCAGTATCTATGTTTTACTTCTTTCAGCTATACAAAGTCCATAAATTAATAAGCTGACTGTTTTCATCCTATAAGCCAGCAATTACCTTGAACAAGGGGAGGAGTGATATATGAGCAGTCTCCTACATAGGGTGCAGACTGCAGGTAGAGAGGAAATGGCCTCTTACCGCAGAACTGGGAAAAGCAGAACTGCCACATTTTTAAGCTTAACCAATTCCCATTTTATAGTCAAGTGATAACAAAGGAAAATGAAAAATAGTGATTCTATTTTATCTTGCATTCACTTCAGTTGATGCATTTCAGTTAAAATCCATGAAATGCACAAGGGCCCAAAAAAACTTCCTATGAGGGAAGGCATGGAAAACAACCACCACCCCCAAATACATTACTCCAGCGTATCTTGAAAGGTAACACTGTAAGCTGTAACTGATCAAAAGAGGAGACAGTGAAGAAACACGCATCAGTCTCTCCTTCAAAAATGAGAAGAAGCACATTACAAGCCAACAAAGAAGGGCTGTGAATCTGGCTGAGAAACCGAGAACTCCCACATCACATTCTCTCTGGCTGCATACCTGGAGACAGGTAGAAGGCACCAGAGGCTCATTCAGGCTTACCTTGTCACCAATGCTTTCCGTTTCATGATCTCCCCCAGCTCCTCGCCTCCTTAGCTCCGACATTTCGGAAGACAATAAAACAGCAGCAAGGGCACAAAAAGGCAATATGAAGATGTGCAGGGTGGCAACCCTGTCTTACAGCTGAGTTATGACAGATTTTATTCCAAAGGTTAGGCCTCTAGTACATTTTATATCCTGGATGCCACCTAGGAAGAAACCTGTCAGCAGTGAAAAATCCTACTTCCTCTCTACAAAACAGAGCACCTGAAATCACTCCTCTCCTGCAAAAGAACAGAATGAGTCTGGAAGTCTTTTTCTGCAGACTAAGCCTTAAGAGACAGCATTCTGGAAGGTGTCCTAGAGGTCTCTCAGTTTTTCACATCCCAGTTGGAGGGCCCCTCAAATTGGCGGAAAACCCTCATTCAGAAAAAGGTCCACAAGCGTTCTTTTTGCTGACCCTTCATGGAAAGGGGAAGATTGGCTGCTTCCCACAGGGAAGGGAAAGAATTAAAAAAAAATGAAGAATCAACCTAACCCGGCCCCCCTCAATGCAAAAAGCTTTCCACAAAGCAGGTCTTTCCTTAATGCAGAGATTCACGGGGGAGCCACCCCAGTCCTGGCTGAAAGAATAACAACAAATCAGATCTTCCAACCTTTTCCTGAGGGGGTGGGGAGCAGGAAGATTAGGACAGAAAACTAAGAGGTCCCTTTTTCACTTCAGAGGAAGTTGGGGTCTCTAAGGAAACTGACCGTCTGACCACTTCTCTCCAGGCAAGGACTCCTTCTCACGCCTCAGGACTTGCCCCTCACTCCCACCTCCCCGATATAAGGTTCAGCTACCCCAGCCGCCCCTCCTTGGTAAAGCCCCACAAACCCAGAGCTACGAAACCCAAGCGTCCCCCCCGCACCTCCCCATGCTTTTCAGAGGGACGCCCCTCAAAAGGCCTCTCAGGAGGAGGGACACCCAAAGCCCCTCGCCCCCTCTTCCTGCCCCTTTCTGGAAGGTGGAGGTCCAGCGACG